CACAAAAGCTAGGAAGCTGAAAGTTTAGGGGAACGTCCCCCACCCACGTGTGACCCCGCAAATTTAAATTCAACCTCCCCGTACCCGCGAGTAAAGCGCATGGCCCCGTAAAAGTTTGGGCGGATAAAATTGTTATTACGGGAACCACGGAAGCTAGAAGGCTGAAATTTTGTGGGTGTATCCCCTGCCCACACGCCACCCAGAAAACTTGAAATCAGCTTTCTCCTGTCCACGAGTAACACGAACAGCCCCGTCAAAATTTTTGCGGGTAAGTTTATTATCTCGGAAACTACTGAATATGCAAAGGTGAAATTTTAGTGTAATAATCCACTGCCCATGCTCGACTTTGCCTATTCATGTTCAGCGTTTCCGCGCTTTCGGTATCACCTACGGCCCTGTGAAAGTTTTGGCAGGCAAATTATCTCTTTATCTCGGGGACCACGGAACCCAGGAAACTAAAATTCTATAATAATGATCTCCTACCGACGTACGACCTCGCAAATTCAATTTCAGCTTTCTTACGCTCTCGGGTATCACCTACGGCCCCGTAAAAATCCTGCTGGGGGAATTATTGTCTCGAGAACCATAAAAGCCAGGAAGCTAAATTTTATGGTAACGTCTTCTGTCCGAATATAATCCTGCAATTTTAAATTCAGCTTCCCGCGCGTCCGAGTATCATTTACGGCCCGTGAAAGTTTCGGCAGGACAGTGAAAATCATTAGCAGGCAATTTTTCGGCGAACGGAATTGCACAAAACGCATGACTACACCGGCTGCCCTGGTGCGCCGCTATTTATTAGTACTTCCCCTTATTCTGCGTGTGTGTGTGTGGCTGTATGTATACATACTTGTGTGTAAGTGTCAGTTTGTGTGCGTGTGTGTATGCGTGCGTATGTGTATAAGTGTGTACGTATGTGTGCACATGTGTTTGTACGTGAGTATATGCGTGTGTATGTGTATATGTGTGTACGTATTTGTGAACTGTGTGCACATGTGTTTGTACGTGTGTATATTCGTGTGTGCATGTTTGCGTATATGTTTGATATGTTGGTGTACATGTATGTTTGCATGTGTGTATGTGTATTATATGTGTGTTTACGTACGTGTATATGCGTCTGTATGTATAGTATACGTGTTTGTGCATGTGTGTATGTGTATGTGCGTGTGTGCTTATGTGTACATGCGTGTATATAGGTGCGTGTATATGTTTGTGTGTGTGTGTGTGTTTGTGGATGCATATGTGCATGCTTGTATTTATGTGTATGCATGTGCGCGTGCA